TATATATTAGCGATTTCAAACGATTGAAATATTTAATCATGTTTAAAAACGCAACTCTCATAATGAACTCAAATTGACTCATAATTAATCGTGATTACTCACACATTTTTTTTCGTTTCTGAATTTCCTTTCATATTTTTTTGTCCTATTTTTTCCCATTCTAATGCTCTCATCAACATGGACATGGACATCAACATTTCTATGTGCAAAATGCTAATATTTACTGAAACAACAATTTCGATTTTCAATTTTACATGAACATTTTTCACTTGGGGCAGTTATTCACACATATTCTCTCACACAATATGACTGTCCATCGACAACAGTGAAAAAAATATTTTGTCACACAACAGCTCTTTTAACAGCTTTTTAGGGAATCAAAACAGAGCAATATAAAATTATGAAGTGCACATCTAAGGGAAACTCGTACTCAGCCTATGGTGGATTTAAGCCATGTTTGCATACTTCGTGTTTCTCAAGTTTGCTTTGAACACAGCAGTCAGGCTGTGTTGATTCTGTTGGTCCTTCTTGCGCGGAAGTCTCTCTATGGTTTTGTGTAGACATCATTTCGGATGACGACACTTGGTTCAAGGCACAACACTGGATACGTTTTCTTATTTTCAGCGTGGTCGCTACCACTGCACCGCTGAACTCTCGACGTGCCTCAGCGCACCGTCACTGTCAGACGAACACAGAGAAGCTAAACCCGCTTTATTTATATGGACACGGAACACGGTAACCTTCCACACAAAATAGTTCCAAACAAGTAACAATCGCGTCAGTGGCATACATCATACTCAACAGGCTACCTGCGAAGTGCACATCTAAGGGAAACTCGTACTCAGCCTATGGTGGATTTAAGCCATGTTTGCATACTTCGTGTTTCTCAAGTTTGCTTTGAACACAGCAGTCAGGCTGTGGGCGGCCCAGTAGTCCAGTGGTTAGCACGTCAACTTCACAGTGCAGAGGTACCGGGTTCAATTCCAGCTCCGGCCTCCCTGTGTGGAGGTTGCATGTTCTCCCTGGGCCTGCGTGGGTTTTCTCCCTCATTCCAAAAGACATGCATGGTCGGCTGATTGAACACTCTAAATTGTCCATAGGTGTGAATGTGAGCGTGGATGGTTGTTCGTCTCTATGTGCCCTGCGATTGGCTGGCTACCGATTCAGGGTGTCCCCCGCCTACTGCCCGAAGACAGTTGGGATAGGCTCCAGCGCCCCCCGCGACCCTAGT